TGTCCCCTGCGCAGGCAGGGGACGAGCAGTGGGGTCCCTGGGGACAGCGGGCACCCCCAGCAGTCAGGGCGGGAGGGTGCTGCTGTCATTTTGGGCAGAGCACGGGCTCTGTGGTCACAGCACAAAGCCCTGTGCTGTCCCTGGCCCCTGCAAGGGCCAGTGATCACACCTCATCAGTCCCACAGCCGTAGGGCTCCGGCCTCATGGATGCTCTTGCTGAAGTTGGGTGGTTCCAGGCCTTTTCCCCCCTCTGCAGATAATCAGTTTAATGCAAAAGCACAGAACTAAAACTCTGAGATTAGCTGTTATAATCACATGTAAATACTTCCAGACAATCCGCTCAGGGAGGGGTGGCGTGTGTAGTTTGGGACAGAGTTACACGGGATTTAGGCTGTTTACCACTCGATTAATTTCATGACCCCAGCCCCAAACCCACCGCTGTACCAGATGCCCGGCTCACTTCCCAGAAGTCAAGGTCACTCAGGCAGGAGGAAAACAAAAGCACAGGGCAGCCACATCTGCCAGCAGCGACCTGCCCGGCCCCAGTGCCAGGCCCTGGGCCCCCTGCGCCCCAGCCCCAGCGGAGGCAGCAGGAAGGCTGGGTTTGCCCATCCCCGCTGGCTGGCTGCTGGGCAGGGGCTGGCACAGGACCACAGACCCTGCAGGCAAGCACTCACGCAGGTTTCAATCCCTTTTTATTCATAAGCATAGTCAAAGCTTGAGAACGTCAGAATCAAACGCCTCCCCCAACCACCTACGGACCAACTCCAGAGTCCATCCCTCTTCAGAAGAAAAATAGAACATCTTCCACCTATGCTTCTTCCTATTCTGGGTTCCTCCAGTCCAAAGCCCTACTGGTGCCTGCCTGCAGGCCGGAGAAGCCAAGGAAGGGACAGCTGCCCTCACACCAGGACCGCACGCTCCACAGCTCCGAAGCGGGGAGCACGCGGCTGCAGCTGCACACACACCTCTCACACCGTCCTGTGCAGCTCTGCTCGGCCCCACGGCTCTCTCCCAGGATCCTCGTGTGCCAGGCAGACGCTGATCCCAGTTTGGCCCACACAGACATGATTCGGGAAAAGGGATTTCAGACCATCAAGTGCAACAGGCAAAAAGACCGGCCACGTGAGAGCGCTGCCACCGCTTTGGCTGTGGAGCAGTCTCTGCTGGAGACAGCTGCCTGTGCCGGGGAGGATGCGCAGGACCCGCACGGCCGAAAACAGCACGCCTCTGCCGCGGCATGCTCAGGCACATCCCTTGTAGCCCCGAAGCAATAAGGCAACTGCTGGCTGAGGAGGCTTCTGTCTGGTGCAGCTGTCCTGCTCAGCACGGGTGTCCCAGCGCCAGCCGGGCCTGGCTCCAGCGCTAGTCCGCCAGCGTGATGACATCGTAGTGGATCCCCTGCTGCAGCTGCTGGATCTGCTCGGCCGTCGCCTCAGCGGTGAACACGCCCTGTGCTTGCGCCATCGCAGCATCAGCCACTGCTGCAGAGGAGAGGAGGGTCAGTGCCTCCCTGTCCGAGGGCAAGGGAGAGCAGGCAGCTGCCCAGAGCCCCCCTCCACGTTCGTCACCTGCCTCCAGAGGAAGGGGCAGGCATACATGAGCACAATTTCCACCGCACCTCACATGAGGCTCCAGCAGGGAGTCTGGCTCTGGTTAACTCTGTAAACACACATCAGTGTGTCTCCACTCTGTGGAAGCTGCTGCACCACCCAGCATGCAAATCGCCTCCAGGGGAAGGGAGCTGGTACTGTTCCAGAACTGATATGCTGGGACCAGCAAAGATCTCCCCTCAGACACCAAGGCTGGCCACGTCCCAGAATTACAGGGATGCAGGAACCAAGGTGGCAATGTAGCCTCGCCTACCCTGGCCCTTCTGCCAAGGACTGCTGCAGGGCTGCCTGCCAACCCTGCCAGCTACAGCAAACGAGCAGCCTCTGCAGGCAGAGAGGGGCTGAAACCACAGTGCCTCAGCGGCTGCTAACAGCCATCGCAAAGTGTTGGGCAGGACTGGCATCCCGAGACCCGGAGGGAGGTGGGACTGCCAGAGCGATGCCAGAGCTCAGCCCTGGGGACCTGGTCCTACCTGAGACTGCTGAGTGTGCAGCTGCTTCCAGCTGTGCCTGGGTGACAAGCTGCTGCTCAGGCGAGACAGGCATGTACTGGATCTGCAGGGAGGAGACAATAGTAGAGTCCAGGACTGGGGAGGGTCCCTCCTGCAGTGCTGATCTGGCCACAGCTGCTGCACACACCTTCTATTTCACATCCCTCCCTCTCCATCTCACAGCAGCCCCATCAGCTCCAGTCACCACGCCTGGTGCCTTACCTGCGGCTCCTGGAGGAACTGGCTGCCCTGCTCGTACTGGATGTGGGTGATCTGCCCATCCTGTACCTGGGGACAAGAGCCACAGTAAGGCTGCGTTAGGGCTAGCGGGCATCCCTGCCCCTGAACAAAGCTTGACTCGAAAAAGAGCAAGCCACAGGGAGCAGGAGGAGGCCCAGTCCCACACATGACACCCTCACAAGCCCCACCCTCACTCAAAGGCAGCAGACAGCCTGAAGCTTACCTGGATGTGATGTCCCTCTGGGACAACAACATACTCATGGGGAAGCAAGTGCTGTACACCATCCTGGGCAATGATGTACTGAACCTGCAAACACAGGGATTCAGACCCAAAAAAGGTCACCAGTGCCCACCCCCAAACAATAACAAGGCTGGTTCTTGTCTATCTTCTGTGCCTGTTTCCACCTCACCTCTCCCCACTGTCCCCAGCTCTCCCTGCTCCAGCTGCACGGAACCTTTCAGTTCCTGGGACGTGCCCCCTGCCCTCACCTGGTTGTCAGAGGTCACTAAGTGCTGTACTGTCTGTCCATCGGCAGTTGTGATCTCCTGGATGTACGTAGCCTCCTCCTGCAGACCAGCAAGAGCCCAGCGCTCAGTGGGGTCGGGCCTGACCGCAAGCCCTCTGACAAGGGAACCCACACAGCTCACGGGGAGCAGTCGCATAGGGCAGGAGGATGAGAATGATGGGCCTGACTCACCTGGCTCGTGACGCTCTGCTCCTGTGCGACAATGATGTGTTCCTGCCCCAGGGCCTGCTGCAGCCGCTCGGGAGCCAGCACCGCCTGGCCGGACTGCAGAGCCGCTGGAATGCGGAGAAAGTCAGTGCAGACACTGCCGGGGCTGCCAGCCAGGCCCACTCCCGAGTGGCTCCTGCCAGATGCCCACCCCAGTGAGGAGCACAGAACAGTCTCAGCTCTGATTTAGCTTCTGGCTGTCTGTGAGCAAACTCTCCCAACATGAAGGAAACCAGAGGTCACTGTGGGCAAAACACAACCTCCCCATCAGACCGCAAACTCCGCTTCCCATTTCAGCCAGGAGCTGCTCACTGCACTGCTCCTCCTGCAACACACTGATCTATCGGGACCTGCTTGGGGGAAACAGTGGACCCCTAGTTCTGCACAGAAAAACAGTTAGCACCTCACCAGGAGAGCTCCCTGCACCAAGACTCCTCGTCTTTGCACCCACCGAGTTCTACTACTGCTGGCAGTCCTGACCTTCAGCCGGAATTTTTTTGGAATCTCCTAGCCCTGACCCAGCTCAGCCCTGCTCAGCCCACAAGCTGGTTGAATCCCTGCGCGGGGCTCTGGCCATAAGAAACCCACAGGTCACCCCTGGTCACAGGGACACGTCTTACTCTGCAGGGTGGCCAGCGTGTCCTCGTCGCTGTTCAGTATGATGGTCTGCTGGGCAGCAGCTGCAGGCGCCCCTGGTCTCTTCCCCTCTGAGCTGTGCAAACGCTGCATGTGGAATTTGAGGTGCCCATTACGGTTGAACCTATGGGAAGAACAACAGTGAGGTGGAGTATGCCACGGGCAGCACAGGGCCTCTGTGCTCTCTGCAGAGACTGAGGCCACGGGCACCACAACCACATCCTACGACATGGCCTGTCCCAGCTCCCAAAACGCCTCCATCAGGCCTAAGTACTGAACCTCCCCATGCAGAATTTCCTTGGAGATGAAGCTGGGTTCACCTGCAGTAGGAACTGTTCTCAAGGGCACAGTCCCCTCTAACATGGATTGCTCCCAGGGGTAGGGTCAGGGCAGTCAGCTCTTTGCCAGTATCCCATCTTCTCTTGAGCCTGAGAGAGTTCTAGAGGATCCCTCAAAGCAGCAACAAACTAGCAGGCTTCGCTCACCTCTGCCCACAGATCTGGCAAGCAAAGGGCTTCTCATTGGTGTGCGTCAGCATGTGCCTGCGCAGGTCCTTCTTGTTCTTGGAGGCGAAGCTGCAGTGGGTGCACTTGTGTGGCCGAAGGCTGGCATGCTGGACCATGTGGCTCTGAGGGCAGAAAGACAAGTGCAGGGTCAGAAAGCTCCCATTTCTCTAAACCTCTTCTTCCCAGGACTGCTCTGTGCCAGGGAACCTACCCGAACCTCCGGCCAGAGGGCTGCAGTGAATGGACAGTCAGGACACTTGAAGGTGCTGGGCCCAATGTGGGCTCTCTTGTGACTCTCCATTTCTGCTCTCCCTGTGAACATGGCTGTGCAAATCTTGCATGAAAACTTTTTGGCTGTGGAAATCTTGCACGAGAGCTTCTTGGCTGTGGAAACCTTGCACGAGAGCTTCTTGGCCACGCCTTGGAGCGCAGGCCACTTGACCTTTGGGGATGAGATTTCCTGCCCCTCGGATGCTGGGGATAAAGACGAGTCCTTCTGGAGCTGCCTGGTGACACACTGCACCAGTGGCCACTTGACGCCGGCGGGCTGTGCCTCCTGGCCCTCCGCAGGCGAGGGAAAGGCAGCGTCCCCGCTGAGGGGCTGAGAGAGAAACACCCAGTCACACCTGCTCACACTGCTGCCCGAGACGGGGAGAAAACTCAGCTCCTTACCTCAATGTGATGGAACTGGCTCCCCGGAATACTGGATGACATGATATAGTGATTGTTATGGTCCTTCAGAGCCTCCTCCGTCATCACAGCTTCACTCACCACGACTGCATGGGAGGTCTCTGCAGGGCTCTCCTCCTCACTGCTGGAAAGGACAGGGTCAGGGAGGATTTGCCTCATCCTCCTCACCACTAAAGCCTCCTCATTTGAGGTCAGAACTGCCTCTGTCTCCCCACTCCTCCCATACAGCTGACCTGTACAGCGTGCCTGGAGCCTGCATCTCCTCGCTGATGGGTGTGATAATGCTGTACTCCGTCGTCCCGCCAAAGGGGATAGTGATCTGCTGCAGCTCCGAGCCACCCAGGGTCGCCTCTTCATAAGCCTCCTGCACTAACGTCTCCCCAGGCTCCTCCATGTGCAGCGTCACCAACTTCTGCTCTTGCTGCTCCTCAGAGACTATCTCTGTCCCCTCCTCCTGTGCCTGTGGTTCACAGGGGGCCTGTGCTTCTCTTGAATCACCCGGCTTCACCACTGCCACCTGCGGGAGTGAACAGCAGTTCAGCTGGAGGAAGGCAGGGGTCTTGCAAGACACTCGCTGAAGCAGAACAGGGCTGGGGACTGTGGACAGCTGGGAAGCCTCCCCCTGCCACCCCCCCAGCAGGCACAGCCCCCCCTTAGCCCTCCTCACCTGCAGCGAGCCCGTGGCCAGCTCTCGCTGTGTGCTCATGTTCAGTTAGGAGATCCAGGGCTGTCTGCGTGGCCAGTTCTGCTGATCCAGCCACATCTGCTGGGGTCAGAAGGTCAGGCACATGCTCATCCACCTGCTCCCCATCCTCACCCCCTTCCCTGGGAGCTCACTCACCTTGTTCATAAATGATGGTGGCCTCTCCCAGGGAATCCTGCGAGAGGATGGGCGGCTCTGCTCCTGGGACGGCCTGGACCGCATGGTAGGTGACGGGGCCAAGAGGCATCTGCGTGAGAGAGAGCACTGACAGCGCGGCTGGGGCCAGTGAGCACCAGGAGGAGCTGGGGCACGGGCAGTGGCACTCACCGGCGGACTAGCCTCCGGCTCAGCCGGGGCCTGCACCTGGCTGTGCTGCTGCTTCAGCTCCTCAATCTGCTGCAAGGTGAAGAAGGGGCGGCGGCGGCAGGGCGGCTCCTCGGGGTGCCTCTGTGCCCACTCCTCAAAGGAGTCGGCGTGGCGACAGTGCACATGGAGGCGCAGGTTCTTCTTGTGCTTGGTGGTGAAGTGACAGAACTCGCAAGCAAACGGCTTCCCTCCTGCGGGACAAGGGAGGTGGGAATCAAACAGGGGGTTCCCAAGGGACAGCAGGGAGAGCAGACAGGCTCTGACTGCCTCCTGGAGAAGTGGGGGTGTAGGAAGTCAGGAACCTGGCAAGCAGGCAGGCAGCTCCTCTCACCTGTATGCTTGACAGCCATGTGCGAGACCAGGAAATCCTCCCGGAAGGTGGAGTACTTGCAGAAGCTGCACTTGTAGGGTTTGTCGTTCATGTGCGACAGCTGGTGGTTCAGCATTTTTTTTCTCACACTTGAACCTGCCAGGACAATGCCACCTGTCACATGGGTGGCAGGGACCTTCTGCCCTCCCCTCTGAGGGGGAGCTGGGACACGGGCTCTACCAGGGCACACCACAGGCTGTTGCCGGGCTCCTACCTGCGGTTGGCAATGGCCTGGATGTGTGTCAGAAGGTGCATCTTGAAGGTGTAGCGCTTCTTAAAGGACTTCCCACACTGGAACGGAACAAAGAAAAGGAGCATTCACCTCCCATTCAGCCTCACTTGCTGCCAGCCCTTCCCCAGGCTGTGTCCCCCGCCTCACCTTGTCACACATGTGTGGTTTTTCCGTGCTGTGTGTCTTCATGTGCTGCGTAAGCCTCTTCTGCATGGGGTAGATACGGTTGCATACGGGGCATGGGAAGGAGTTCAGCTTTGGGGGCTGGAGGGAGAGCACAAAGATGAGCTCACCTGGCAGGGGCTCACCAGTTTCCGTACCCTCTCCCCACTGCAGGACCTGGGCTGCCTTTCCTCAGGTGATCCAGAAACACTGCCTTCAACAAGGCACCAAGAATTTGTGGAAGACCCAGACACGCCTCTTCCCACATAATAGTGCTGAGAGACAAGCCAACAGGGTACTCAAACTCACCGGATCAGCTCTCTTTTTCCTGAAAAAGAAAGAAGAAAACCCCTTTGTGTCAGCCACATCCCAAGTCCGAGCTCCCTTGTACCCAGACACTGAAACTACCCGGTTTGGGGAGGGATAGAGGTCAGAAGGGGCAGCCATGGCTGCCCTCCCAGGGCAGGAGGAACAGTGTTAGTGCCATTCAGCCAGGCTGCAAGACAGTCTTTAGGACTGTGCTTCCCTTACCTGTCCCGGCTGTGCACTGTGGAGTGCCGGATGACGTCCTTCTTGTACACACTGGTGTAATTGCACTCCTCACACTTGTACGGCTTGCTGCCCACATGGTTGAACATGTGTTCCTGCAAGGAGCAGAATGGAGGCTGTGAGACCTGTGGCTACCAGCCACCCTCGTGGGTACCAGCGCAGGACAGACAGTGCTCACCTTGAGGGAGGACCAGCGCCGGGAGCGGTAGCTGCACTGTAGACATTTGAAGAGCTGCGGGTCATTGGCCTCGTGTGAGTTGACATGGAAACGCAGATCATCGTGCGTGAGGAAACGTGAGCCACAGATCCGACACAGGTAGGGCCTCATCAGGGGCTTGGGCGACTTGTAGTAGTACCTGCGGAAACAGGACTGGGGCTCAGAGCTGTGGTGTCAAACAGGGGCTGGACCGGCCCTGGGCACAGGCCAGAGGGCCCAGCGCTGGCTCAGCACACACCCCTCACCTGCGCCCCATGTACTTGCGGTATTTCTTGCCCAGGAAGCGGCGGGAGGGCCGCCCTCGCCTCCTGGGGATGACGTCTGCCTCCTCAGGGCCAGTGTTGGAGGAAGGATCCTTGTTCTCAGAGTCAGACTGGCTGATGCTGGGCTCCGCCAGGCTCTCACTGCTCCCGTTCTCCAGGCCAGAGGAACTGGCTGCTTCAGAGTTCTGCAGCTCACGGTTCAGTGTGCTTTGGGATGTCACCAAGGGCTCCACCTCCCCTCCTGCTTGAGAGGACACAGCGCAGCTCTGTCACACACCCTCCCTGTGCGCTCCCAGGAGCTCATGTACTGCTTCCTGCTCCAGCCCAGCACGGGGCTGCCGCCTCCCGCTTCCCTCACCTTCAGGCATATCCTGGGGCATGTCCTCCAGACGAGGAAACTTGCGGGGTCTTCCTGGGCGTCGACGCGGCCTCTCCTCACTGGATGTGGGGACAGTGCGGCTGTACTTGGGCTGCCGCCCACGGGGCTCATCCTCAGCTGGGTTATAGTCACTGTCCTCTGGAGGTAAGAGGCCCAAAACATCAGAGAGAGACTGGGAAAAGACTAAGCTACGTAACATGTGAGGAGGATGAGTCCTACCTTCGGGGTCATCAATAGCACCAGCGTCCATGATATCATCATCTTCTTCTTCTTCTGGGACGTCCTCCTCCGCAGTCTTTGGAGCTGATCCCCCCTTTCGTGGACGTCCTTTCTTCAAAGCCAGAGCTGAACCCACTGCCACAGAGAACAGAATGAAAACTCTTTATCAGACTGTATTATGGAGCAGGTCCTTACACTCATACTCTCCCCCTTGTTTCTTTCCTGGAGAGAGTGGAACCTGTCTGCAGTAAGGTAAGTTTTCCTCAGCCCTCAGCACACACCTGGCTGGAAATGTCGCTCTTTCATGTGGTTAATTAGCGTTTTCTTGGAGACGCTCTTGTACTGACACATCTTGCACTTGAATTGCTGCACCACCACCACCTCCATCATCTCTTCTAGGGTCTCCATGTCTGGCTGGTCCAGCTCCTCCCCACCATCCACCTCTCGGGCCTGATCCGGCTGTGCAGGCAGCTCCAGCACTTCCAACTGCTCCGAAGGGTCCGAAGGGCCGGGCTGGTCAAGGCATGTGGAGGTAGGTCCATCAGCAACAGCTTCTATCGCCAAGCTATTGGCCAGAGCAGAGGTGGCCATCTGGGACACCATGGGTGCACCTGAAACGCCAAAATCAGCTCAGTCAAGGAGCAGTCCCCCCCCGTGCATCCAGGCTGCACCCACACCTGGGGCACAGGTTTGAAGACGAGCTCAGTAACAAGCTCCCAAGAGTCAGCACATCCACAGGGACTCTGATAGAGGCACTGTGGCTGATGTAGCTGGGATACCCACTTTAGGCCCTGCTCTTGCAGAACAGACTCAAGAGGCAGAGACAGCCACCACCAGACACCCCAGGGCACACCCTTACCATCATCGGGGCCTTGCAGAATGAGGTACTGCGTAGTCTCTGCCCCGCCATCCTCCGCACTGGTCACAGCAATGCAGCCTGGGAGGAAGAGGACAGCAGAGTGGTAACTGCCAGACGCGGGCACTGTATGGTCACTAGGGCTCACTAGGGCTCTCCCAGGCTCAGACACAAACGGAAAAGGGTGAGGAAGGTCCAGCTCCAGGGATGGAGCTTGCCCTGGGCTGCTGGCACCGTGGCAGAAGGAGCAGCCAGACAGAGGGAGGGCTGTCCGGCAGCTGCAGAAGCCACGAGCTCCTACTCAAACTCTCCAGCTACTGCAGCAACGCAAGAAGAGAAACCCCACTGATCGAGGTGCATACATACGCATGTATGTAGTTCCCCCTAACCTCCCAAGATCTGGCACACCAGCAGCTCCCCTCCCCAGCCCCAGTACCCTGAGCCATTTGCATGTGGGGCACTCCAGAGGGAGAGCAGGCAGGTCTGCCACACGCACGAGCTGCTGGGAGCAAGCACTCACTCTGGATGATGTCAGGTCCAATTGTGGACTCGATGATTTTGTCAATGGCAGAACCTAGGTCTGAGGAAGTAGATGCGGTAGAGTCTGACACGATTGTGGCTCCGTCAGTGATGACACTGGAGTGGACCAGGACTTGTGGGGACTCTGACACCATGATGGACTGGCTCACAGTGGAGACACTGGAGACCAAGGTGGACTGGGCAATGGAGGATGAATCTGGCAAGTAAATCCGGGGAATGGCATCTGTGCTCGAGCTGCTCTCCGACACCTCTTCCTGGTGGAAAAAAAAGAGGCCAGAAGAGCTCAGCTGAGAGACCTTTCCCGGGCCAGGCCCTTAGGGAAGAAAGCACATGCAAACAACACTGGTGTATCACTACAGAACTGCCAGGAAAGGCATCAGAGCAATTCCTTTGGTGTTGCCAAGGTCCCTGGAACTCCAGGGCTCCTCTCGCTACCAAGAAGAGATCTCCTTAGACTGGCAAGCACACACCTGACTGGTTTAAGAGTGCCTGCTAAGGCTGCTGAGCTACAGAGTTAGCTCCTAAGCTGTTTGCCAGAAATTTCTAGAGAAATTTTCAGGAACCAGAACCACAGGTGCTCTCCCTTCCCCAAACTGACTGCTGCCCCACCCTCCCCGTCAGCTCCTACCAAGGAGACCCCGCTGCTGTCAGAGCTCTGGCCCACGCCGGAATCATCCGCTCGGGAGAGGGGGCCGGGGG